GAAGGCAGCCGCTTAACCGACTGAGCCACCCAGGTGCCCCTAAATAGGGTAAATTTAGACCCCAAATCTGTGTGAGGGGTAGACCTATGGTTACAACTTCTTAAGGGAAACATTTTTCCTTCTCTGACCCACAGCCCAGTAGGACATGCACAAGCTTCCCTATCATCTATCTGTATTAAAAAGTAGTATTTTTTTTGTCTACTTTTTCAATGAAATTCTAGGACTTCCCAGGTGGGGCTGGGGGCCAGAGAGCTCAGCTGCAATCCCCAACTTGAGAGGGCCCAAAATCTTATCTTTTATCCCCATAAAGCTATCTCCTGTCCCAATGCGCAAACCCCTTAGTTACTGCAAGTAGTAACATATCCCAATACCCAGCAGCAGCTTAAGCTTTCTGCTCCAGTTTTTAAGTTCCTCTTCATTTTGGGCCTATGGATTTCCCCTAATCCCCTTGCAATCTTAGATGCTATACATCAAAAGAAATGTTTATTTTATTTCATCAAGTATTTTGGGGCATTTTGTAGAAGAAGGATTTTTAGATAATGTAATCTGCCAGACTGCTAGTAAAAGCAGCTATCTCTATATTTCTCTTTATACTTTCTAAATTTCTACAAAGCCAAATTATCAAAATAGTGTTAACACCTAGGAGTAAAAATTGTAGAATGATACTTTTCTTTAGGTCAAGAGCAAACCCCTGGCTCTCATTTGTATTTTTAAGTTTTTCTATATCAAATGCCTATTATAAGACTAATAAGAAAAGCAATGTCCAAAACTCTAAATGAAATAACAAAAGTCACTGGAAGAGGTGCCAAAATAATAGTTTTTTATTAAAGATAATTAATATAGAAAAATAGCTTGGTTATTCTTACCTCTGAATTAATAACTTTAATCAGGAAGAAAATGTGATATACCGTCTTGGTTAAGAGAGAAAGTTGCCGACATCTTTCTAGGTACACTTGTATAGATGGTTCTACTCTTTGCTGTAATTTACTCCAAAAGAGAGTGAGTTCCCTAAAAAAAATGTATAAAAAATAAGCTGGAGTCATAATATAATAATCATGGACTATGTTGGTCCAGTCATTACATTTGAAATTAAAACTGGTTTTAGATTCCAATTTTACACATGGAAATTAAATTTAAATTAGATACAAAATACAAAATATTTCTCAATTTTTTAGAGACTAAATAAAATCAGATTTTGATTTATCATTCTTTTAATATTTTTCAATGTCAGAGAGAAGCACTGCCTGTTACTAGTAAAGCACCTCTCATTTAAACAAGTTATACAAACAGTAATTGAGCCGCATTTGAAATTTATGTAATAAAGTACAAAATGTGTTTGTGTATATATAAAATGCATATATAGATCAATGGCATATTTTTAAAAGCATTTAATTTTATCTTCTACCTGAAACTGAAAACTGACCAATTGGTCAATTAAATTTAAAATTATTATTAGATGAATGTTAACAATCAATGACGACACAGAACTCAAAAGTAACAACTAATTTCTGTCCAATTGGTGAAATAATAAGACACTTTGAAAAATGAACTTTGAAATTTATTTCAAATACAATTAGAATCTATTTTTCACAGAAAATAATCCTACTGAAATGATGAATTTTCCTCCCTTTTACCTATCGTCCTATTTCTCTTCTGTCCTCCGTGGTTAATTTCCACAAAAATCTTCTTCCTTGCTGCAACTTTTTTCATCAAGTATTCTCCTCAGTACAGGCCTTTCCTATTATTATTTCCTCAGTTTGCACTCCTAGGAACTCTGCCCTTTCACCACCCACTTGAGTAACTTGCTCATTTACTGGATTTTAACCTATATATTGAGGACTTCAAAATCTGTCTCTCCAGTCTTGACCACTTTCACCTCTCTAGTTCTTTATAAGACTTCTCCACTTTGATCTCTTCTGAAACCTGAAACTTAATATATGAAAAAGATGATTAACATTCTTTCCAGTTCACCATCTTTGTAATTTAATGCATCATTATCAATGACCCTATTAAGTCTCTGCTTTCTATTATCCTAAAGACTGTTACCTTCAACATTTTTTCAACCCATCCTACATCCATAAGGAAGCCTTCATAACTTCCCAGCTGGACTGTTAACTAGTTTTCTAGTTGACTTTTCTAGCTTAACTCTGTCCTCACTGTTCAGACCCCAATCCATTCTCAAGTACTTGTATTACACAGCATTTCTTAAACATAATTTTTTTTGCCCTCCTACTTAAGAGCTTATAATAGATTGCCTTTGATGATATGAAATCCAGACTTTGATGACTTTTTTAAAGCAGTGTGAGAGTTAAATTTTTAGTCACTACTAATATTTATGTTACATGGAAAATCTACTTCTCCTCAGTAAATGCATGTTTTTTATTCTCCCTTCAGAATCTTTCTACCCACCTTTTATATCAATCCTCTGTGTACTGCATATATGATTTTCCCTTCACAACAAAACTCGTAACTGCTCAGAAAACCTTTATAATTGTGAACTTTATTCTTCTTTAATTACACATTTAGTTTGCCTGTCCCATATTCATGGGATTTGTATGTCATATGTCATTTGGTAAAAATTCTTAAATGTCAGAATGTTGTAAACTAAATTTTGTGTTTCCAATATTACCAACAAAACACTGAAGACTAATAACACTGTTCACTGACCAGATAAATTGCCAGTTTTAGCTAACACATTAATTTAAGACAGGTGATCTTAAGATTTTTTGAGTCACTTGAAGTCAACATCTCTATTAGTTATATGTTCCCAAAAGAATGTAACAGGCTTTGCACACTTGAAAATGTACCATATAAAGAAATGTGCACTCAAGAAGTTAGTGAAATAGAATGATATCTCACAGATGGAAAATAAACTGTATTTCCATACATGAATGACTAAGCTAGTTATGTAGTTAAAAGTATGTAAAATGCAGAGGAAAAAAATATACACATTCAATCACAGATGGCTTACATATCTGAAAAAATTGTGGCATTAGACAAAATAAACCTTTCTTTCATCTTCTAACATCTAAAAATTTCCTGATCATTATTATTCATTATACAATCATTACTGGTATACTAAGGAGTTGTCCTTAATATAAAAAAATTTTGAAGTTATAATATGAACTACTTGATAATCAGTTTATACAGCATGTAGTAACTGAAAATAAGCTTTTTGTTTTGGTAAGATTTTAAAGGATTAAAAAATACGTCCTTAAGCTCTCTGAATTCTCACAACCTATCTTGTATTCTTATTTAACAACTTTTCTTTACAAAATAAAACCAACTCACCAAGCACAGTACATATCTCCTTGTTGGAGCTGACGTGATAAAAATGCAGTACATAAGACAAGAGCACTTTTTTCATCACCCTCAGATTCTAAGTTACAAATCATTTCTAGTGCATCTTTGCAATCAACTTCTGAAATCTACAGAAAAAAGGATATAGAAAACATGCCATAAAATGGTTTTATTATTAGGATATACAGTAATATACTTTAGAATCTTCACTAGATATTTACAGATCATTTTTATCAGTAAAACCTCACTGACTCATATACTATCAATTCATAGTTTGTCATTACTGGGCTGCAGGTAAAGAAATAATCTTTCTTCAAGTCAGAGAACCAACTATTTTCATGAACTTTACAAATATTTACTTATTTGCAATGACTAATTCTAAGTACCCTCTACCCATTAATCAGTTCTATGATACTGAAAAAGAAAAGCTGTAATTTTCCCTCTTTTATCTGGTAATTTAAAAATCATTAGCATCAGCAGAAAGGCAAAGAAAGGTCTACTGGATATAGACTAATAAAGTGTCTATTCATCTGAGGGGAAAAAAATATACTATGAAACATTTTATGTAGTTATACCACCTTTAAGTTAAGCTCACCTCAGTGTTCTATAAATCTCCATTATTTTTCTTTTCATATAAATTCATTCCATCTCAAAGCCTGTCAACAGTCATGCATGCATAAGTATAACCTAGATGAAGGCAACTTCTTCATTTAATTATACATGTATATCTACTGCTTATTTTTTGAGATATTAAAATTTACTCCCACATTACAATCATTTAATACATAAACAGATCTCTATAAGCATTTGCTGTGAGACAAGGATATAGCAAACAGCATACAACCACAAATCACTGGCGTTCCACAAAAAGATTAATTCCAACATGGTATAAATGACAAATGGGGAAAAAAATTGAAGACCAATACAGACCACTGGCACCCATGTACCACAGAGATAACCATGCCCCTCCTTGTTGATCTTCTGTCTCTCCTGATCAACTTTTGAGTACAGGAAAAGTGTATGTGTGTGTGTGTAAAATGTAAAGTGTTTAGGATGAACAAGTGACTAAATGAGGATAATCTTTCAGGAGGATAAAGGTTGCATGAGGATAGATTCAGAGGTTCCATTTCATACATTAAGTTGGGCTAGAAAACTCTGAAGACCCAACTCTGAGTCTGTGTATTTAACAACAATGATTTCTTACAGGAATCATGAAGTTAGTGGCAGAGTTAAGACTGAAACCTAAGTCTTGGAATTCCCCGGTGCAGTGCTCTTTCCATTACTCCTCCATCTGACTCTTTCTAACAAATCTTTAAGAGACCCCACTCAAACAAATAAAAAAAAGGGCTGAACAATATATAATCATACAATTAAATATTTTCAAATACCTACATTAAGTGCATTATCAGACATATTTTATTATTTAATCATATATTTCCTACTAGGTAGGTATTATCATTAACATTTTATACACAATGAATGTGGGGTTCAAAGAAATTATGTAATTTGACCAAGTTGCAACAGTTAATTAAGTGGTAGAGCTACAAATCAAATTTTGTCTGACATTAAACATGCTCTTTCAATTTCCTCACATTATCTTTTATTACAAGCTGTGTTAACTTTAAACAATTACCCTGATACACACATGTAGACAAATGTTAGAAGTCAACCCAGAAGTTTTATTTTTTCATGTTAATAATAACAATATAGCAGCTACTATTTATTATTAGTGCCAGCTTCTTCAGAAATAGCATTGCTAACCATATAGCTTGCCTGGTAGATACTACTACTAACTTTTTAGAAATAAGGTTCAAAGAGTTTAAGTTAACTTGCTCAAAGTCACATGCTTACTTAATTAGTGGCAATCAAGATTTTAACCCAGGTGCAGCTTCAAAGTCTGTGCTCTTTCCAGAATTCCCCATGCATAAGCATATTGAGGCCCTTTATTGCTAAATACTGATTTTTTTTCATGTTCAGGTTTAATAAAAAATCTTATATCCTGAAAGTCTGATTTGTTTTGAATCTGATCTTTTGTTGTTGTTCTTCTAAAACCTAAGCCACTCTTCTTGAATGCTCAAATGATGCAAAATGCGTACATTATATATAAGAAAACTTATTTTCCCAATGATATTACCTACATTATTAGCTTACACTTAATAATGAGAAATATGTATTTGTATGTAAAATAGCCTCAATATATTTATTTCACATATATACAAAATATCAAGTGAAACATCTGCCATATTCAGTAATACAGAAAACCTCACTTTTTATAGGTATACTAGGAAAACAATTTTTAGTGTGTACTTCATAGCTTTCATTTCCCTGGTTTGCCACTAGATGGTTCTCTTGAAAAAATAGGACACTAAGGAGAATGGCAGAGAAAATGAAACCATATTTAAACCAATGGATACTTGAATTCAAACCATGAAAGTGAAATACAAATCAAATATAGCTATCAATGAACAAGAATTTTTTTTAAATCCAAGGCAGCATAAAGTAGGAATTACCAGTATATACCTAAATAATGACTATATATTATAGACATCTTTTCTCTATTGCTTTGAAAAATGAGCAAAAATTTAAACACCAGAAAATCTGGAACTGTGAAATAAATTCTCAAAGTCAGAATGATCTGTTCGTTAAAACAACATTAAAGACATATTATGCTAACTCCCTCTGTAAAACAGAAAAATCATTTCAAGAATGTGAATAATGATTTTTATGTCTTCATATGGCTCGTTATACCAGGTATTCAAAAAATACAGAACACTTCATCAATATTCTATATACAATTGCCAAGTGTACTTTTAAAATGTATTGGCTCTTGGGCGCCTGGGTGGCTCAGTTGGTTGGGCGACTGCCTTCGGCTCAGGTCATGATCCTGGAGTCCCAGGATCGAGTCCCGCATCGGGCTCCTTGCTCAGCGGGGAGTCTGCTTCTCCCTCTGACCCTCCCTATGCTCTCTCATGCTCTCTCTATCTCATTCTCTCTCTCAAATAAATAAATAAAA